CTGACAGCACCTCTAAAGCTCACTAATTAATGTTATCTCCTGGTTGAAGTGTAAAAACATGAGCTGAAAGCTGAAACGTGGGAGTTATGAGGTGGAACTAACCAATTGCTTCATATTAGTCAAATAGATACGAGAGTGGTATTGATCTTCTCATCTAACTCTAGGCAACAAATGTTAAACTTCTTCCTTAACTAAAATACAGCCAGTTGAGTTAGGACTCTCTATCAATAAATTTGACTGTTAAAAGCCACTTTTCTTCCAGTTTAAACCCTTTTTCTTTCTTTATAGATAAACTGGCAACAGCCAATGGGACCAAAACCTAAAATATGTGTTGAAATGCTAAAAGTGACAGTAAAACCTCTCATATAGGAACTGTCCCATATTGTCTTTACCATAAACCTAAATCTGCACCTGTCCACCCACAATAAAATTCACACACACTCTCAGATATGCTAAAGAAGGAGTCTCTATCATGTTTGAGTATTGCAAATATTTTACAGGGTATGTTACCCCGTGACTATCGTTCTGTCAACATGTAAAGCTGACGGGGGAACAGCAGCAGGTGGTGATGACTGCACTGACGGTCTGAACGGCCCCTTCATACCCAGTATACAAATACCACATCTCAGTTCAACCCTTTAGAATCGGTAGATTGGTACCACTCTACTGTCTGTATGTTAAATATGAAGCTAGAGCCGGTACAAAGATGATCATTTATCTGGACATCAGAGGTTTATGAATCCACCTGCTGTGAGTTCATTTTCAGCTTGTTCTCTTTAATATTTAAATGATGCTATAAAGGCACTAACCATAAGGCACTTCATATTCTCTTTAACAACAAAAGTGACCAATTAAGACTTATTCATTATGTCTTTATAAGTAATTAATAATGAATAGTTATACGAGAGTACTAGTGCGTAATTCTTTCCATTTGCTTTCACTCTGTGTACTTTCTGAATTTCTCTGTCCTTTAAAATATGTTTTATTTGCTGTAGATTACGATGTCACCTTATGGAGGCAGTTCCATACATGTGAAGTACAGAGCTAACAACCACAAAGGAGGATACGGTGTGTTGCTAAAAGCTGGTACAGGATTCGCACCCAGTCTTTGCACAGTAAAAATGTTCCTGTTTACAATGGGACTCTGCTGAGGACACACTTTACATTCAGTACACATTGTATTATTTCCAAAGAGCAAGTGACAGTTTTACAAAGGTTTAATGAGTGAACATGCAACTGGAGCCTAGGACTGTTTGCTAATAAATGTTCATTTTAACTATAGCCTCAATCAAACAAGATGCTCCAGGTACAACAAAGAGAAGGTGGAAATATCAGATAAAATTAAAGCAAGGGCGACAGGGATGTTTACAACAGTTTTTCACCATTACAAAAAGCTTCTGCTGCTGAACTGTGTGGAACTGCATTCTTCAATTTACAATGAATGAACCTCTTTCAGGGTGGAATGTATTGCGCACATGGTTTCAGCAACTGAACACACACACACACGACAAAGAAGGAAGCTGTAAGACAGGCCTGTCCTGTCCTGTTGCTCTACACTCGTTTCCTTGACAGAACAGGAAGTGGGCAAAAGGTTTGAAACAACACTCAACTCAGGAAGAGGGTCTGATTAACAAAACAAAACATCAACCAGTTCACTCCAACATCTTGCTCGATCGCCTCCGACCCAAGTAGGTCACTTTTAACTCTATGCAGCAACAAATCGAATTCCAGTTTTTTTAATTACGTCCTCAAACAAGACTCCAATTAATTATTGAACAGTTGAATTTTCCTCAGTCCCGTCTGTTTTTCTCCAGAGAGCGTCAAAATCGAAATAAAACAATTACGTGTGTGTAATGACACCGGCCCAGTGCGACTGCAAGTCAGACCGCTGTTTACTGCAATCACTGCTGCTACATCGACCTCATTCATCTCTTTCTCTGCTCATTTCTGCAGCTGATTTGCAAGCAGCGCCATGTTTCATTTAAGAGTAAGAGCAGGCGAGATGTGACAGCCGAGGGGTACCACTGCAGGACTACATAGATGTGATAACAATGTCTTATGAAGAACACCCTGCATGAAAGGATTCTCACTTTTATTCTCAAAAACATTAAAAAACAAAGCCATGAATAACAAGAAAAACAAGCCATCGTTTCTTGCTTTCTTCAGTGCTAGTCAGCATCACAGGAAACTCTCATATCTCTGCACATCTACAAACCACTGTTGAGGTGATCAGCCACACTGCAGCAGAGCTTGTCCTCTTTAGTTATGCATCTGTCAAGCACCGATCTACATTTACTGCACAGGAGGAAGAGGCATCCGTTGAATATCGCAGTGTGTGATGGTGACAGATCTCCCTGACAAGACTCACAAAGTCTGTGATATTTGAATCATCAAAAATCATCAACTCAAAACACCGGTGGTCACATATTCCTCCACGTCTGTCAAATGCCTCCTAATCCAATTTCACTAATTGAAAAACATGGTGAAACATTACCTGAATTAGATCTGCAAAGTGAGTCACTTCTATCCCAAATTAGACACAGAGAGCGAGAGAGGAACCTTTGACATGCAGAGAATGGGAAAATAAAAGATAGAAAGGTCTGAGAGACAGTCAGTAATCATCCCTGCTTCTTCTCAATCTCACAACCGAGACTGAGTCATCGTATCCATGCAGGGGTCTCAGCCTTGAGGTGCTGAGGTTCGACGGAAAGAAAAACCCAGAAGCTTAAAACAAGGGCAGGCGCTCAAACTCTTCTAAAAGAGTTAAAACTTTAGTAAGAGCAGCAAGGCTCCAGGTCGAGTTCAAACTATTGAGACCAAAAAACGTTTGTGTAACTGAGAGAAATGTTCATTTAGTAAGAGAGGTAGGAGGCTAAAGGTTCAAGGGGGAATGAAACAGGATCTTGGCATGAAGAGTGGATTGTAAGAGCAGCTTGTTCGTGTCAATTACTTGTCCTTCATGTTGTCTGTTGTCAAATACTGTTGTATAATCAGGCTGTTGGGCGTCACAGTGATCAGCAGGGTGTGACATTAATTAACAACCTGTCCTTCAACTTAAGGACCGAACAACAGGTTCAGTTTTTTGGGGGGATTGTGTTTGTGTAGAGGACACACAAATGTGTAAAACATCAGTTCTTGTGAGCCTGAAAGGAAAGACCACCTAGAGTAGGGTTACTCACTGAAAGCAGCGACGGCCAGGACGATGGTGATCGCTATGGACACCCAGGACACCCACAGAGCTTTCTTCCGGTAACTCTGTGCTTCGTGAGGCTTCAGGCGCATGCTGCTTTCTAGAAGACCTGCAGACAACAACACAGGGCACAGATACAACTCGCTGCTTTTAAAAGGACCAGTGTGTAGAAGTCAGTGGCATCCAGCAGTGGAACTGCAGATCGCAAGTGAAAAGGAGAAACTACAGTGGCTGGAAAAAATGTACAGCATACGCAAACGCCCCTTTCTAGAGCCATTGTTTGGTTTGTCCCTTCTGGGCTACTGTAGAAACATGGCTGTTCAACATGGCGGACTCCATGGGAGGTGGTCCGCAGCGTCTGAAGATATAAAAGCTTCATTCTAAGGTACACATAATGATTCCTATTTTCAGGTGATCACTAATGAAAACCATACCTACTTAATATTATATTCATTTCTGCCAATAGATCCTCCGTAAATGTTACACATTTAAGCTCAGTTTCCATATTCACTGAATTTACATGTATATATTATATAATACCAAACTGACTAGCATTAAGCTGACTCATATTATATGATTTACCACAGCATTACAAATGGAGGAGGAAGGGGTTATTTGTGACTGTACTAGAGTGAGGTTAGCTCTAATCTGTTACTGATAATTACCAGTAATATCTGTTAATAATGCATAAATCACATTACATGTGTTATATAGTTCCTACGGCTCAGTACAGCGGAGGCTGATAAGAATGTCATTAGTTACATCATAAATCAAAGCTTTGGACAAATTACAATTGAGTCAATGACGGCAATAAATTAAAGTGATCATAAAAGTGATTGAAATTCATCCTGAGGGGGAAATGAGTGCCTGAACCAATTTTTTTGGCAATCCATCCAAAAATGGTCAGTTGACTCAAAATCACAAACGTTAACCTGTTGATGTCGACAGGATTCATCATCTGGGGATCATGAATGTCTGTGCACATTGTCATGACAGTCAATCCAGTAGTTGATGAGATATGAACCAGGTTTAGAGGAGAAATGTGTCTTTGGTGGATCTGCTAACAACTCATAGACATCTGAGTCTGAGTGTGTTTTGTAAGGGGTCAAAAACATCCATAGTTTAAATGTTGAAGAGAAATTTAACATTAAATCCACTTTTTTAGTATGTAGTCACTATTCTACAACCCTGCTGCCTAGTAATGCAACCACCCAGACAGTTTTCACTTTGGTTAAAAGCATGAACCTAAG